AATAAAAAGTGTAGTTTAACAAACCCAATATAGGTTAACACTTTTTCGTTAGTTATTTAACGCCTTTCGAACTTCCTGATGATAGAATCACGAGATCACAAGATTTTGAAGAAATAATTGATGTTTTTTTTTCATATTTATTCAACTTAGAATTTATTTAATTATATCGCTAAAGGTTTTATTGTAAGTCAAATTACATGTATAGAAGCATTTACAATACATATTTAAAGCTTCAAATTTGAATTTTTTATGCTATTTGCTAGTATTTTGTTATGTTCACCCAAGTTTTCAGAAGCTATTTTGCTTGTTCAAAATCTTTAAAGTTCGATTTAATACTTCGAAGCCATTTTTCTGTTTAGGAAGATTATTAGATTTTTTAATACATAAGCATCTAAAACAAAATTAATAAATATATTCAATCATGGAAATATAATGAAAAGTTTTTTTATACCCATGAGTTTTTTTGTATTTCTTAAAATTTCAGATTCAGATTTGCTATTAGTACTTCAATTTCTTATTATTTATCAGATCGATCATTGAGTAATTGATTAAGGTTGATATTTGATTGTTTTTCTATAAAGTTTTTTTAGCTTCTGTAACAAGAGAATATTGAGAATCATTGCTTTTCCTTCAACATCTATAAGTTTTCATAAACTATATATTCAAGCCTTTCAGATCTTATAACATTTTCTTTTGCATGCAAATATTATTTAAAATTTGATACTCATGTTTCTATTTTTCTGCTTTTATTATTCGGATTGTATACTCAAAACATGATTTATTATTTTAAAATAAAATTTTTGGTTTCATTATTTGACGAAATAAACAAATAGTGTCTTATTTAGAAATATTATGATATTTAAGAAAATAAAATTTTCATTAAAAATTGTTATTATTCTTACATATATTGATCAAATGTCATTATTATCGTATTAATCATTAATTTTAATATCAGCAATAAATTTAAATGTAACTAATTTTGGTTCAGCAAGTGGTTCATCAAAAATTAATAAGAATTAGAACTCAGAATTATTACTTTATTACGATACAAATGTATAAAATTTAGGACTCAGAATTATTAATTTATTATACTACAAATGTATTACATATGTATGACATTTAATTAATACAAAAAATGAAAAAATCTTTCTTATTATACGACAAATGTATTATATTTGCCATTTAATTAATGCAAAAGTAAAGGAAAAAAATAAATAGTCTTCGAACTTATAATTTTTTCCTAATTTCATTATTAATTTTTAAAAATGGAACAATACAACTTTCTGTCATGTGAAACCTTCGATCAAATATTAGAAACTTTTATTAGTCAAAAAAAAAACAACTGTAGTTTAATAGATCAAAATAAATACAATCAATGTTTAAATATACTTAAAAATCCAACTGACTTATGAACCTGAATTTTAAATATTGGATGACTCATAATTTAAAAATTATTTATGTTAGTACAATTAAAGAACTTCATATAATTAAGCCAGCCGAAAATAATCTGAGGACACAAGTTTGTTCTATTGAAAATTTTTATGAAGTAATTTGTGTCGCACACAAGATATTGATGATGATAGTGCACAAAAAATTTATAATGATTTATTATCATTATATTCAGAAACTGAAAAAGGTTCTAAAAACACACTAGCTCACAAACTTACTGAAATTATCAATTTGGATGATAATTTTAAATTTGGCAAAGGTTCTAAAAACTTACTAGCCTCTGAAGTTATTGAAATTATTGATTCAGATGATAATTTAAGTAAAACTCAACATTATACTGCAAAAGAAAAAAAAAATGGTGAGCTCAATCTGATGCAATTAAGGTTAGCTAAATTATTTATTTAAAAAAAATTTTTTTAAAAAAAACAAATAAATAAGTAAATAAGTATAAAAAATATTAATAGTGAATTTTTTTTTTTATAGCCAAACTTGACCCGTCCATCTTTTGAAAAGCATGAAACAGTTCATCAATCAGCAGTTTTAAATATAAAGAGAAATCGTGAGCTTATATGAAGTAGAATGGAAGAAAAATATAAGGTTAAACGTAGTAGAACATTTGAGCCTGGTGAATTTATAAAAATTCATATACCTGATAATAACAAGATTAAAATGAGTTAAAGATCCTTACCCTGCAAAGTACTTCAAAAAAAGCCTAATATTGACTCATATCAAGTTGTTTGCTGATATGGGATAGTTGATAATTGGTTTCTGGCATGTGAACTTGAGCCACTTGGAACTTCCAATTATCCTTTTCTTAATGTAGTTCCTTTGAACAAAACTATTTTGTTAAGACAAGCAAGCTTTAAACAAACTGATAAACTATTAAATTAATCATCAAACCAAAATAATAATGATGATGATCTTTTTATTAAGTAAGTAATAATTTATATAAAATATATGATGTTACAATATGCTAATAATTATTTATAATAATTTAGCAATAATCATTCACTTCAAAACTATCATTCTAATGCAAATGGTTGCTGCTGCCAAAAAACCAAATGCTCTTTGAAGGCATGTTCCTGCCAAAAGAATAACTTGCTATGTTCATGATGATGTGGGTGTGTTCTTTGTGGTGATTGTAAGAATAGATAAGATTCTTTTACAAAATTTATAGTGAATTTTTTATATGCTTTTATTGTGCTTTTTTTTAGATTGCTATAATTTATACAAATTTCTTTTTTATTTTTATATGTAAAATTTTATATGAACGCTTTTTAATATAATTAATATTTTTTATTGGGATTGAAAAAAATGGGACGTCAAAAAAAAATGGGACATCGGAAAAATTGGAACGTCGGAAAAATGGGACGTCGAAAAAAATAGGAAAGAGGGCTTTTTTTTTTTTTTTTTTTTTTTTTTTTTAAGTCTTTTCACACATTTTGTGGAATATATTTTTATGATCCATGGTTGCTTACGGATTAAATGGGCTTAAAAGATTTTGAACACTGTTTTTTTTTTTGGATTGCTAGACCGATTAAGAAATAATCCAGGTCGTTTCAAAATTTAAAAATGACTTAGGTCAATTTGAAATCGATATCCCACGCGCGGTGCCCATCACTAGTCATAGGTTTGGATTGCACAAGCCAACCACTAGTTGCACACATGTGCATATAAATTTTATTTTTATATGCACAATTATCTCTGAATAATACTAACATTATAATATTACAATACCAAACATAATGTAATTTGTTGCTATATCATGAGTTCGTGCACTTGCTCACCTTCGTTTCAATAGTTGCAAAATTAGGAGAAAGTACACGAGATTAGCTGAAAAATGAACTGGGATCTTTGCTAACAAAATGAGGTTCCGAGGCTATGTTGATTTTGTGAATAAAAATTAAATTTGCCAGCCATCTAGCAATCCAATTTGAATGAATTTTTTTTTATTTTGTAAATCTCAATAGAATCTACAAATTAAAAAAAATTCATTCAAATTGAATAACTAGATAGCTGGCAAATTTAATTTTTATTCACAAAATCAACATAGCCTCGGAACCTCATTTTGTTAGCAAAGATCCCAACTATTTAAAGAACTATTTATGTCTTTCATAAATTAATGTTTGTTCTCTGCGTATTAATTAAATTGATAAAATATGTTGTTTATCTAAATACTACTAAAATTTTCACATTTAAACAATCTTATTGGACCAAACCAAAATAGTGCGACCTTTACATTGTCTACATGCATAGTATCGCTAGTTAAGTTATTGTCAAAATTATTGTCGGATATATAAAGAATGCAGTTTATGCTGTATGTGGATCATATTATAACAGGCAACCAACAATAAAAAAAAATAAAATGGCAACTAAAATTACGCAAGAACACAAAATGCATTTAGGAGAGAGTCGGGTATTTTGTTATAGACGGGTAATTAGGCGCACTTAGGTTTTTAAGCTATATCCCATTCGGTACTATGGCATGGACGTAAGAATACATGGGTGCCCAAATTCGGAAGATTTACGGCATACCGATATTTTTTATATTTTCGTCATGTCACTTCAAAATGCCGAAATTATTTTAATATTTACGGCAGCCGAAATGTTTTTGGCAGTCGTAATCATTTTCAACTGCCAAAATCATTTCTATTGCTAAAAAAAACAACCTCAATTTATTACACCCTAAGTGCCCACCTCTGTAATTTTGACCAATCGAATTTCAAGATCAGGTACAACTAGAGATGTGCCGTATGCAGGCAATGTTGCAATGCAAGTTGCCTAAAATTTAAAAATGCACATAGAAGTTATGTAATTTTGATCAAGGTCATTACATCAACAATCATTTTACCTATCAAATTCATAGCCTGTAAAATCCAATATAAAATTAATCTACCAGGTTTGTTTCTACAATATAAATCTAATACCGTATTCCTCCGAAAAAGTACCCCGGCCCGCATTATAAAAAATTTGGCCTAATTATAACCACCTTGGCCAACACTAAGTGCAAAAAGGGGCGCTTATTTTCGGAGGAATACGGTATTTTATATTTTCAAATCCGATAACCTCACAGTAATAATGCAAAGGCTGTTCGCCGCATATATGTTTGAGGTCCACAGTATATTATACAGAATTGTATAATGCATCATGCAACATATTGTTGCATTATGTGATGCAATGTCAAAAAAACTTGCATTCGCACATCTTTAGTGCCTTCGATGTATTATGTAAATCAAATTTATGTATAGTCCTATATGAATGTTTGAATAGACTATTTTCTGTATAACGATGGATGACGATTATCTATAGTAAACTATTTGATCATTTTAACAAAATATGGGCGAATCTATTAGTCGCCGGCAGTTACAAAAATCTTAGAATTTTTAAATCAAAATAACTCAAAATTATGTGTATGAAATCAACTTATTTGACTTAACAAAAAATAATCCTTGCATAATTTTACTACATATCATGACCTTTCTAATCCTAAACACAATTACAAATGAAATCTGAGTGTCGTCACCGCTTGCGACAAATAGATTATTTTATTAAATTAAATAAAAATTTAATAAAACTTTTTTAAAAAAACTCTCTATTAGTTCAAAATATAGTTTCTGCTAAGCAATTGAGCAAAAATTTTAAAAATAGTTAATATGTAATTTACAGAGGAGATATAATTTGAAGTTTAAAAATTTTATGAGATGATTATAAAAAATTATCAAATTTCAAATTGTATCTCCTCTGTAAGTTACATATTAATAAGCTTAAAAAATTTGCTTGGTTACTCAACAGAACCTTATTTTAAACTAGTAGAGTGTTTTTTTTATCAATGTTAATAATTTTCGTTATTAATATTAAAAATTATATTGATAACCGTGATTGTTACACAAAAAATGACCTATTTGATTTTTATGAGACTATGTATAGATTTGATCAACATAGTACATCGAACACGTATAAATTGAAACAAAAAAAAATAATACTGTAGCTCTAAATTTTAATTAGGAAACCACTTCTGTGGCATAATTAAGGATGCTTCTTGTGAATTTTTGCATTATCCCTAATCCTAACTATAACGAGTCTATTTGCTTTAATTTAAACGCAACTTTTTACATGTAACTGTCAGGTTGCATCTGACATTAATTTTGATTGGTTAAGAATTACAGGAGGAACAATTTTTGTGTGCGCTACCTAAAATAGTTTAATTATTATAGACCATAAATGCCAAGAGTGTAGAACTTAATTACTACATAAGGTGATACAAACATTACGTTTTTGATGCATTTCGATCATAAAAATAGATTTTGATACACTGCATAAATATTGTGAAATAGTTTAATTATTATGACCATAAATGCCTAGATCGTGGTGGAGAACTCAAGGTGATACAAACATTACGTTTTTGATGCATTTCGATCATAAAAATAAATTTTATGAAAATTGTATCAAAACATTAATTTAGAAAATTTTATCTATCTGCATGCATTTATTATCTTGTACTTAGTGTAATAAAGGCATGCCAGTACATAGCATGTGTTGTTATATAGTGTGGGCTCCTGACTTATCTAGTATGTATTAGATAATAAATCATTTTAAATGTTTCATCGCTTTAAAATATTTCATAAATCTAAAATATTTCATCTAATATATTTCATAAATATAAAATATTTCATAAATATAAAATATTTCATAAATCTAAAATATTTCATAAATATAAAATATTTCATAAATATAAAATATTTCATAAATATAAAATATTTCATAAATATAAAATATTTCATAAATCTAAAATATTTCATAAATCTAAAATATTTCATAAATCTAAAATATTTCATAAATCTAAAATATTTAATAAATCTAAAACATTTCATAATTTAAAATTTTTCATAATTTAAAATTTAGCATTATAAATACTTTAAGTTCACATATATATACCTAAGGCTACTTCGAATTTCCGAACATGAATCCGAGATAAGCGAAGGAATTAGATAAGTGTACCAATAAAAAATAATAATTAGTAGGAAGTATGAAGCAATAGTATATGAGTGACGCCAAGGGAAAATGGGACATTTATTTATCATTTATTATTTAAATAATGATCATTGATAAACAATGTCCTATTTTCCTCGGTGTCACTCATATAGTAATAAAAAAAAAACTTCAAAATATTGCCAGTTGAAATTTACACATGACGCCAAAAAAAAATTTCGAAATCTGGAAGTAATTTCGGCATCCGAAATTATTTTAGGCTGCCGAAATTATTTTAGGCAACCGGAAATATTTTCGGCAGTCAAAATTATTTAGGGTTTAGGTTGCCTAAAGTATTTTCAGCAATTTCTATTTACGGCAAACCAAAAATAATTTAGGCACCCATCTATAGACGTAAGGGCGCGCCCTGAAACTAGTATTAATGAATTTGATTTTTATTATATTAATTAATGTGTTAATAAGTTACAGTACGTACTAACTTTACAGGTTTTTTTTTATTAAAAAAAAAAACTTAAAGCCTGTTATTTAAGGCTCCAGCCCTATAAAATGCCATTTTTACTAGTTTCTATTCGTTATACTTGAATCGACCCTTTTTTTTTATTAATTATACTTGAATCGCTATGCAGTGAATTTTTTTCTTCAATACTCGCAAGAATCTTTAATGAATGCTTTAGACTTTCAACAAAAGGAAGTTCAATGGATGGAAATTGCTATTTCGAAATTCTTCATATCGGTATGACAGAAGAACTACGCATATTTAAACTAGATAGGAATACAAGTTTCGCTATATTGAAAATTTTTATAAAATAATTTTTGCAACACATTAAGCAATCGAACATGGGATCGAAACCGAATTGGCAGCAAAATAATAATAATAATAATAATTCATTAAGTTCATTCGTTTGATTATGCAAATTTAGCTTGTATTTAGTAGTTAAGCAAGCATTTATCATAATAAATCATTTTTTCTTTACCTTATAATTACATATTTTTCATTTTTATTTATTTTTGGTTTTTTTTAAAAAAAATTAGTTTATTTATTATTATTATTATTTCTTTACACATGCCGTATTTACCGAAATAACGCGCACCTGCAAAATTGATGCGTTATATATGTGTGATGCATAACAAACCTGCGTTTCTTAATTTTATATACAACCTTTCCGATCTAGGTCAGATCTTTTGAACAAATAATTCTTGTTCCTGCATGTTATCACAATTCGTCATTTCAAATGATTATTAATTTGCCATGTGGAGTGTACATTATTTCGGGACGCACATGGGCGTTATTTCGAAACCAACTATGCTATTTTAAGGAAAAGCAATTTTCGAAATAACGCGCATGTACGTTATTTCGGGTAAATACGGTATGCTTTAAATCTACTAATTAGAATTAATAAGCAAAATCTGATATTTGATACAAATAATATATATGGAATGGGCTTGAAATATCCTGGTGTATAAGTTTGAAACAAAATAAAAAAATTAAAAAAAATTTCCGACCAACCTAAATACTTAACATAAAAACGCAATTTTTTTTTCTAAATCTTGTGGTGGTGCTAAGGGTAGCATGATTTACTTTACCCAATAATCGGAGATAGTATTTCATACGTCCAGAGCTTGCGATAAATTAGGGCTCCCTCTTTACGGACTCACGAGTCTCAAACCTTTATGTGGATCGTCGATCCAACTGAATCGAAAAGAGCGATAATATTAAAAACAAAGATGCATAATTTAATATCATTGTAATAAAGTCATGTTAATAGGCTTGTGCCACAGAATTATACAAAAATACAAAAATACATCAAATCAAGTCATGTGAGCTAATTCGATGCATTGATAAATAAAAACAATAATCACATCTATTTTTAATCATTATAACGTATATAAGATAATCTATAAGTGATAAGTGATAAATTGTGACAATCTGTTGTTTTTCTTTTTTAGATCGGTAAAAATTCCAAAATAGGAAATCAAATTATTAATAAAATGCAAATTGATTGGTTTAATTCAAAAAATTGATCTGCAAATCGAATATATCACGTTAATAAAATAATAACTGTAGCCCATATGATGGAGCTGTTATGTAACATTCGGAAATTTTTAATTTCATCTTGATCTTAATAAAGAAAATTTATCGGAAGGATTAAAAGAAATACGACAATTGAAAAAAATCCCATTGCAAGAAATAAATGCAACACAATTTGACTTGTATTGATTTTAATAATTTATTGTGCTAACATTAATTCTTACAAATATGTGGGTTGTCATTAACAACCTGAAATAACTAGAACATTTAATATTGTTGTAAATAATAACGATAGAATTTTTTTTATTTTATTATTGTAATAACGATTTATTTTGAATCATCCGCGACCATAATAGAATGCAGAAAACGTCCGCGGTATATAAATACGGGCACTTGATTTATACATACTGAGACTGCGCCACGACCACGTATTTCAATGGCATTTACATTTTTTAGACGTTAATTCATTTATGTAAGAAAAAATAACGAAAATAAAAATATATACCGTTCAGTTGGATCTATATTGTTACACAAAAAATTAGATATGTTACTACATATATTTTTGATTTAAATAATATCGTCAACCCCAATACAAAAGAAATTTCTTGGCATAAATAAGAGTTTATATTGTATGTAAACCTTTCTTAGCATATAAAGTAAAATTTAATGTTAATTAATTTAATTTCCTTTTCTTGGCACATAAAAATGTCTTATTATATTAATCTATTCTTCTTTCCCTATCCCGCGCATTTACACAACATTACATTATACTTAATTAAATTCATTGGCTGAAAAATTATTGATGGAAACAAATAGATATATTTATAGTTTAATAAATACCCCTCGGTAAAAAATAAACTTTTTTCACCAATGCTTTATTTTCAGTCATTTATCATGGTTTCAATTTCACTTTTCATCTTGGGGACCTTAATAACTACTGTTATCTCTCAAGAATGTGCACCGTACACATCTTCATTTAATTTTTCTGGATATCCAGCAAATTGGAAAATACCTACAAGTACCGTTTTTAATACAGATGAATTTAAGCAGCTTAATAGTTCAATTGATTGGACAAAAGTGCCTAATATTACACCTCACAAGACGGTCAATGGGAGTATAGATCAGACTGGTTATTCTGCCAGTGATCCAGATTGTTGGTGGACATATAATCTGTGTACAACACCCAAAACAGCTGGAATTAACCCCGATGTCACTGTATGTCCTGAGCCTGGTGAGAACTTAATTGTATTAATTCGTTGAATTCTCGGATTGACTATATGTTTGTCGCTAATATTCGATTATTCATTCTGAAGGTACCTGGGGCTTGACATATGATGATGGTCCAAACTGCTCTCACACTGTGTTTTACGACTTTCTTAAGGCAAATAATCAAAAAGCAACTATGTTTTTTATTGGATCTAATGTTCAAAATTTGCCCAATGAAGCTCAGCGTGCTCTTGCAGATGGTCATCAAATTTGCGTCCATACGTGGTCTCATAACTATATGACTACACTTACCAACGAGGAGGCGCTCGCAGAATTGTACTACACTAGGAAGGTTATTAAATATGTCATGGGCATAACGCCTCTTTGTTGGCGCCCTGTAAGCAATATTTTCATTATATAAAATTGTAAATTAAAAACCAAACTTACATCTTTTTGTTTTATTTTTTCGTTGACAGCCTTTTGGTGACGTTGATGATCGAATTCGTGCGATTGCTCAACAACTCAACTTGACAACTATTATCTGGGATCAAGGTAAGTAGCCATCTGAATGTTAACCGACTTAAAATTCGTTCAAACATAACCCAATTATAACATTTACAGATACCAATGATTGGGATGAGATACCTGACGGCGTTGAAACTTCAGCTCAAATTGATGCTAATTTCCAAACCTTTGTCAATAGGGGTCTAAATGGTACCTACAATTATTCCGGCACCATCGTTCTGGAGCATGAGTTAGACAATAACACTATGTCCAAGGCTGTTGAATGGTACCCAAAGATCAAGAGCGCCTATAAACATGTTGTTCCTATCGCTTCATGCTTAAATATTACTCAGCCATATCTTGAAACAAACTTCACCTATCCATCATTTTTTGAATACATTAATAATGGTAGTTTGCCTACTACAGTTGCTTCGACTACTATTGCTCCGACTACTACCACTGAAGACAATGGTCCAACAAATTATGTTCAGAATACTGCTAATAATAGTCCGAGCCCGAGCGCAAAATCAACATCTACTGCAATAACAAGTTATAATAGCCTAATTTCAATGGTGATCACCATGCTAATAGCGCAGCTATTTAGTAATTTTTTTTAACATAAACCTGTAATCAATTTACTACATTTATCTCAATTCGAATTTAATGGGATAATACTTTATAAGGCAGTTACACCTAATATCCTTTTTTTATTATAGCATTAGTGTTATTTATTTATTAATTTGTTTATTTATTCTGTACCTTTATATCTTGTATTTTTACTATATATATATTTTTTAGTATTCTAATATTTTGGCTTTTTTTTGATACCTTTATGTCGTAGAGAATACTAATGTTCAGTGCGTCCTTATGAACGTGCTTTGGTATTTACAAAATGGGTCGAGTAACTATTATGTGCAAACCTTTTAAATTGCTATGAATAAGTTAAATAATTCATAAGTTTATATAGACTCATAAACAATATTTGTGTGTGTGTGATCTAAATTAGACAAATGAAATAAATTATTGAAAAATAAATTTTATGAATTGTGCAAAAAAGCACTATCCAAATTGTCACAAGTGATGGTATTGTATTGTGAAAAAATTAATTATATTACATAATTTTATGAATCAGATTTAATGAATATTTTATTTTTCAAAAAAAAATTCTTATAATCCTAAATCAAAGTTCTCCAACAAAATTTCCTAAAAGCTTAATTAAATTACAACCGTTTTACGGTACAAGTAATTGTACACTATCAAGATTAAGATATTAAAAATTTTGTAATGCTATTATAAATAGAAAAGATGATGTTAGCTTATATTTAAAAAATTATCATCAAGAAATTCATTTAATTTATTTACGTTACAGGTCATTAATAATTCAATAGCAAATTAGTGTAATTTTGTCTTGTTTATTTGTTACTACATGCTAGCAATTCTCACTTTTGTGGTGACTTACGGTATATTTTGGAATTATAATCGCGATATCTATTATAACTTATCAGTTATAGTAAAGGTTTTGTTACAAATATTTACGAATTATTATGTTATACACAATATTTGGTTAGAGTTAGTTTGTGTTGGAATTACAATCGTAAATACTATCACAACTAATTAAAATTTTTGCTATGAAACATTACGCCATGGTGCACTGCTTGTGTTGGAATTACTATTACGGTAATGATTTTACGATAATTGTGGTAACACAGTATGTGGTTAAGATTTAGTTTCAAAGGAAGAAATTCGTCTGATTGGCTAGTGTAGATCAATTGCCTGTATGTTTTGCAGTACTTTTTAAGAATATAACGTTTCATTAATGGAAAATCACTCCAAATATCATTAATAATTTTCACGAAATACTAAAGATCACTGCACAAAAGAATCAAAAAAGATCAGACTCCCGGAGAACTCCGCTTAGGACAAGTTTATTCGCTTTTTATTGACAATACCAAATTATACCATAGAATAAGGTAACTAGAAACGGTTTTGTTTAAAAATATTTAAGGACGTTAAATTTAAGTGAGCTTTTATTACTATAGTAAAAAGAGGTCCGGGATTATTACTTGAATATATTCTGTTTTTGCAGCTTGTTAGGTTTGTCAATCGTTATGAACTTTGATTTATAAATTGTATATTGTATTAATAAGTTTGAGCTTATTCATCTACCTATTCTTTTAATATACAATTCATCTATATATTTAATAGTTTGCAAGTTGTTTCTTAGCTATATTAAATAAACGAATCTTTTAAAAATTGTGATTTCACGGTGATCACAGATAGATCCATAAAAATTGTCAATCAAACGAATTTCTTCCCTCGATGTTTAGTTAGTTTTGTGTTGGTATTACAGTCAGAAGTTTTATTGAAATTTACTGTAAAAAGTTTGTGAGTGATCTTATTATTGCGGCGATACACAATATGTTGAGTCAGTTTATATTGGAATTAATAGTTGTGATTGAACTTATTATTGCAGTGATACACAATATGTTGAGTCAGTTTATATTGGAATTAATAGTTGTGACTTGTAACATGATTTTATTATAAAAAAGTTTGTTTCTGTAACAAACATTATCCGACCAGTGTTTAAAATTACCTTGCACAAGATGCAAATGCGCAAGTAGTTTTTATTTGTGCAAGAAAAGTTCTAAATGTGTATGCACAAGTGTGCAATTAAATTAAATAAGGGGCTTGTACAAAATGTGACGTGCAAGAGAAATTATAAAATTTTATTGCACAAATATATAGTCTAAATTTAAAATTTTAGATAGGGTAAAGATACGTGGTCTGAAGAGTTCCAAAAGGAAAATGAATGAACGTAAAATACGAGTAAGGTAAAGCATTACGGCGCATTTGTAAACTACCCCAAAATGTGAGAAAGTTTGACTACCGATAGTAAGTCAATTTAATTTGACTTCATATTTTGTCCCCAAACCCAAATATTTGGTCACTAAATTTATTATTTATCAATTTAAAACTAAATCTCGAAATTTTTTTCACCCCATTCAACCCATCTTCCTACTATATCTGCTTAATTTCCTTAATTCCACAAATGCCGTAATGGCATAAATTTTGATGAAATATTTTTATAGCGTTGGTATCATTCAGAGATAATAAATATATGCATATAAAACTAAAATTTAGGTTTCTTTATAAGAAAAGTGGTCCACAGTTGCATATAATACATTGTATAGATATGTGGTCAAGTGACACACATGTTCGTACGTACTGATGAACACTAAGCTGCACAAATTCAGCTGTTACATAACTAAATATCAAATCTTATACAGAATTTAACAACTATCGCAGTATTTAAATGCATATGTGTGCAACTAGTAGTTGGCTTGTGTAATCAAAACTATGACACAGTTGCATTTGTGATGTAGGTTTCGACCTGAATTTTAAACACTGTATCAGACAGATTACTGAAAGATTTCGTGTAACTTATTTGGACACCTCCTAATACATATACAAAATCCACTCAACTCTTACGTACGAGGTGAGTGAATATTTACATATTTGTATTAGGAAGTGCCGAATAAGTCACACGGAAATCACTCAATGCTTACGCCAACATATCAGATAACAAGTTATCAATCAAGTCTTTAGTAGATGAATAATCAGTTGTCATCTACGACATGACTGATAACTAGTACTTTATTATGGTTATACTCATTAAAGTAAAAAAGAAAATAAGTGAACTTGATCAACACCCAAATTGTGTTTATAGTAAAATCTGCGATAAACCCTATAATCACTTTCACCATTTGATAGATTAATAAACTAAGAGATACTAAATCTTATGATCTTAAAAATAAACAGCATACTTTAATAAAGAAGAAGAATATTATTAGAAATTTTGTTTAGTGTAGCTCTGTATAGGTTTGCAAAAAATTAAATAATAAATTAAATGAAAATCTGTGCAAAACTTTAGTCTGTGCAAAATTTCAAATTATAAAAAATTTTGTAAAAGTTGCAAAAATGTAGGTTTTTGCAAATTTATATATATTAATTTTCTTGATAATAGCAAAGCTATTGGTGTTGAATTAATAAACTAATTTTTTATTTTTTTAAACTTTAAACAAAGATATCTCAACAACTACCAAGCCAAATTTAATAAACTTTTTTTATTAGAATTCTATAATTTTGTATAATTCAAGTAAAAAATTTTATCAAATTTTACTTGAAGGTTGGCACAAAATTTTCACTCAAAGTTTGAGAAAAATTTTAATACAGACTTATTTTGACAAAAGTTCTGAGTTTTCTTAAACCTTTAAGCAAAATATCTTGTCAACTACCAAATTAAATTTAATAAACTTTTTTATTTAAATCATATAGATTTGTAGAATTCAAATAAAAAGAGTTTAATAATTTAATTTGGTGTGATAAGATAATTTTGCTCAAAGTTTTAGTACATCTTTATTTTGTTAGATGTTTTAAGTCTGTTTAAAACTTTAAACAAAAATATCTTAGCTACTACCAAATCAAATTTTATAAACTTTTTTTTTAATTTTTAGATCTGTGGATTTCTATTTTTTTTGACACCAAATTCATACAAAGTAACTTTTAAATTTGTACAAGGTGATTTTTAAATTTGTACAAAGTGACTTTCAAATTTGTATAAAAGGGCATTGTAATTTAGATCAATTAAATCAATGCATCTCTTGATTTAGTAGCCAACATAAATAACTAATAAGATAATTCAAATAGTGCCAAAATCATCCAAATTGGTTTATTAGAACATAAGATATTTCAATTTAATTGATCTAAATTATAATATTCTTTTGTATAAATTTGAAAGTTACTTTGTATAAATTTAAAAGCTATCTTGTATGAATTTAAAATTTATTTTGTATAAATTTAAAATTACTTTGTATGAATTTAAAGGATGTTCTATAAACTCTGCAATTCTGTTAAATATTTATTAATAATTATTAATTCTTGGTGGAGTTTATTTTTTATATTGCCCACCTATTCTATAGAACATTCAATTTAAAAATCACTTTATATAAATTTGGTATCAAAAGAAATAATAAAAAAATATTTATTAAATATAATGTGGTGGTTAATAAAATTTTTTTATTCAAAGATTTAAAAAAACTCAAAATATTTATTTAAATAAAGCTGTATTAAATTTTTTTTTAAACATTAAGTAAAGATATCTTATTAATCACCAAGTCAAATTCATTTAGGTTTTTTTTTATTTAAATTTAAAATAGTAAAATATAAATAAAAAATATCAAATTTGACTAAGTAATTGACTAAATATCTTTGTTTAAAATTTAAAAAACCTTAAAAGTTTATTAAAATAAAGCTGCACTAATTTTTCAAACTTTGAGCAAAGATATTTTACCAATTACTTAGTTAAATTTGATGAATATTTTTTATTTAAATTTTACAGACTTATAAAATCTAAGTAAAAAAAGTTTATTAAATTTGGCTTGGCAGTTGTTAAGATATTTTTGTTTAAAATTTGAAAAAATTAAAAAAAATTTAATTTACAAAGAGTAAGAATAACAAAATTAAGTATAATTATTTAAAATTTTTAGTAATTATAAATATTTAAAATGCCAAAAAATATTATTATCAAATTTTATTATTTTTTTATGTCAAATTTATAAACCATTTTTTTGTTTGCTACATCTATTCTTTTTTTTTATTTTAGTCAACTGTATATTATATAGGCTTTTATTATTTTCTATATTCAAATATTGTATGA